CGACGAGATCCGAGTCAGACTTGGCATATAATTGAAGCCCATATTATGTGGTACCTCGAACATATCGTAAGACTCGCTTTAGAACTGCAAGATGCGGTTCTCGAGGATCATTCATAAATAAGCAAAGTTGTTGAATAGCGTATGTGAGACCCGGGCGAGTGAAAGTGAGATATTGAAGAGCATCGGCAAGGCTACGATAGGTCGTAGGGTCTTCATTTTAGTACCGTTCCCATCAAGTTTGGAGCAAAGTTTAGTTGGGGTGGAGGCTGGTTTGCAATGTAACATGCATGCGCAATCCAGAATTTCAGAGGCATACTTTTGCTTCAATAAGAAAATTCCTCGAGAGTCACGATACACAGAATACGCAGGGAGTGGGGTCAATAGATGGAGGAGTTTGAGGTGATGGGGATGTGAGAAATCTGGTGGAGAATATCTTTGGAGAGTCATAGGAATCAAGAAACGAATAAGAAGGGAGTTGGTTAGGTGTAATGAAACCGAAAGGGAAGACGGTTTCATCAAAGACAACATGACGAGAGATGATGATTTGCATGGTGGATCAGTTTAAGCAACAAAAACCATGATGGTTGGATGGATATCCAAGAAAAACACATGGAATGGTTTTTGGGGAAAGCTTGTGTGGAGTAGGTATATGAGGGTAACATAGACAAACAAAGACTCTGAGGTGAGAGTAGGAGGGTAATTGATTAAAGAGTTTTTGGTAAGGGTGTTATTTTGGAGAGAGGTGGAGGGAAAAATATTAAGGAGATGAGTGGCCATGTGAAGGGTTCAACCCAATATGAGGGTGGAATGTGGGCATGAAATAAAAGAGTACGAATGACATTGTTAATGGTACAGAGCATTTGTTCATATTTACCATTTTGTTAAGAGGCATAGGGACAAGAAAATTGAATATGAGTCCCATTAGAATCACAAAATTTTCAAAATTGTTGGTTGTTATATTCTCCACCATTATCACATTGGAAAGATTGGACATCACATTTGAATTGCATTTTTACATATGATCGAAAATGTAAAAATTTAGAAAACACTTCAGATTTTGCACGCAACGGGTAAACCCATAAGAAATGACTAAAATCATCCAGAAAAAATAAGATAGTATTTAATACCGCTAACACTCTCCACAAGGGAGGTCCAAACATCATAATAAATAAGTTGAAAAGGACTCATAATAACAGAAGTAGACAAAGGAAAAGGTAACTTAACATGCTTACCCAACTAACAAGCATGGCATAAAGTAGACTCTTTTTGGTTCTTACAAGAAATACGATTATTGGAAACTAATTGTTGGAAGACATGTTGACTCGGGTGACCCAAGCGTTGGTGCCATATTGAAGGAGAAATGGTATGGAAGGCTTGAGGAGAGGTGGTGGTGACGGGATATAGGTCACCCATGCTGTCACATCTAAAGACTGTTTGTTTGGTGAGGTAATCCTTCACAGAAAAACCAAAGGCGTCAAATTCAATACTACATTTATTAACACGAGTGAAAAGACGAACACAAATCAATTTTTTTATGACGGAAGGAGTAATAAAAATGTTATTAAGATTAAGAGTTTGATAAGGTTTGGATTGAGAGATAGTAGAATGAACGAATTTATGAATGGAATTTTAGAACCATCAACAACTAACATATATGAATATGAACAAATGTTGTTATCACTAATAGTTTGAAGTATACCTTCGTTAGAGTGAAGATGGGTGGTGGCTCCCGAGTCCATGTACCATCTGTGATTACTTAGGTCATTGAGGTTCATAGGGTTGAACCTTTGTGGCAAAGTGGTAGCTTAATCATGAGCATTATTTTGGAACCAATTCCAAGGTGGTGGGACTGTTTGTTCAGATGCAGAAAAGGCAGTCGGGTGGGCTGTTGGAGGGTGGGTTGAAACCGCACTTGGGACGAGGAAGCAAGAGATTGGGCCTGCATCTGATGCGGAAGGGGAAGTAGGCCGGTGGATATGGTTGAACGCCCAGTTCGTTGTTACTGATGGGTTGACGCTGGCAAGGGATACCAGCCGAAACCCCAACCGTAAGGGGCATGTTGCTGATTTCTAGAGCTGTATTGATTTCCAAGACCACCACCACGATTATTTTTTCCACCACGCCCGTTTCTACCACCATTACGACCACCTCGGAAGTTGTTGCCACAAAAATCATGAGAATTGTGGTTATTATTCACATGTTCAACATTGAGAATCTAATGAGATGATGAGTTGTCTTGATGATTACTTGTGACTAACCTATTTTGAAGTTGATTCATGGTTTGTTCTTCAAGTGCCAAGATGGATTCGGTTTCCAAGAATGTAGGAAACAGGGTACGATGACGAAGTAAACTAGCAATATGATCAAAGCGAGGGTTAAGACCATTAATGGTATAGTTAACCAGATTCTGCTTAGGGATAACAACTTCAATGTTTTCAAGTAAATCGGTGAGATTTTTAATCCGGGTGTCGTAGGCATTGATCGTGGAGTCACCTTGTGTGATATTCCGAAGTTCTTGGTCCAACTGCATTGCTATTGCATCTTTGTGTTGGATTAGGTGTCTAAGCTAATAACTGAATTAGTATATACTTGAATTATTAGCAAAGTCCTTTTGGGTTGCCCTCAAACCTAGTAATTGAATAAGATGACTTTTAGAGAGAGAGACTGATTTATTGATTTATTATATGATTAATAAATAGCAATATATAAATTTATTAATATGTTATGAAAATAATATATTAATTAGTATTAGTATTATTTAATTATAAATTAATCAGAAATTAATCATAATTAATTTTGGGATTAATTGGAATAATTAAAAGTGGAAGGACTAAATGTTCAAAAGTTAAATATTAACCAATTCTAGAACCTCCTTAAGAGGCGGGACACAATTCTAGATGGTTATAGAGATTTTTGGGCATTAAGGAAGCCTAGGAATCCTTAGGGAGCAAGGAAAGGGTATAAGACTTATCTAAGAAAACTTGTCTTATCCTAGTTCCCTTAGTCACCTATATAAACCCTCCATGGAGTTCATAATTTCGGCCATGATATCATTCCAAGAGAATGCCGAAATTTACATCTCCCCTCTTATCTCTCGTTAATTCTCCTTGTTGCTAGGGTTAGGTGTGAACCATGAGAGGCACGAGATTTCTGGTGATAACTTCCAAGTGACTACAAGAAGGATTTTTTTTATTATCTACTAGTATAATCAAGAGGTATATTTTTCTAAACCTTTTTGTTATTTTCAAAAATACTAGGATTCTTGTAAGGTTCTTGATGTTCAATTGGTTATTGCATTCAATAGTGGAAACATAGATCCTTTAGGTTGCATGCAAACTTAGGGTTTAAGTTTTTCCGCCAAAATATGATTGTTGTAACCTATAAATCTCATCACTTTGTTGTCACGAAAAAGATTTTCCAAGGAATCCCACAAATCATAAGCATTCGGATTCTTCTTGTGAACAGATTGAGTCAGATTTTGGGTGATTGTACCAAAAATCCACATCTTGACCAGAGCATCAACACGTTCCCACTCTTTCTTGTCAGCAACAACTTTTTTTATCATCAGGAGGATTAAGATGTCCTGCCACACCAAAGGCAGTGCAATGAGTTTCAAACACGTCTCGCCATGCATCTTAGTTCATGCGCTCAATATCGAGAGTAAACGGGATGTAATGTCATAAGGCTTATCATAAGTAGTTGAAGAAGAAGAGGAGGACACAATTGTATATCCGAAAGATAAGCAAACAGAATGAGAAAAGGGGCAGTCGACAAGAGGAAGAAGAAGTCGGTGGCTAGGGTTTAGGTTGGCTTTGATACCATGTAATCAGATAAGTTTTCCATGAATCTCTTCTCATTCATTAAAATTCAATATATACAAAATACAAGATAGGTCTTACACCAATGGGCCAATATAACAAATAGGGCTATACAAAATATTGGAAAACTATACAAAATATCGAGACCACTAACAAACATCATATGTTGATAAGACACACTAATCCTAAATGAGCCAAGAGTGCATCACGAGTTAAAATTACCTGGAAATGAACTTTTGTTTCTTACAGATACCATGTAAACAGATAAGTTTTCCATGAATCTCTTCTCATTCATTAAAATTCAATATATACAAAATACAAGATAGGTCTTACACCAATGTGCCAATATAACAAATAGGGCTATACAAAATATTGGAAAACTATACAAAATATCGAGACCACTAACAAATATCATCTGTTGATAAGACACACTGTTCCTAAATGAGCCAAGAGTGCATCACGAGTTAAAATTACCTGGAAATGAACTTTTGTTTCTTACCAAGGCATGTATCGTAGTACAAACCTTCTATAAAGCTTCCACATGCCCATGAACACTTTCAAAACCCCTAAAAGCCTCGTCTTTTTATTTATACCCTTTTCCTTGGTTTTCCTCATTAAACTTAAATCATGATTAAATAGTAATAAGTTCCCACTAATGAAACTTTAATACTTCAAGATTAAGCAATTATTCTTAGTTATATTCATGTATCCTATATCTCACGGTCAAGGCCAAGTACTTGACAATAAAATACTATAAACTGTCACAAATGTATTTAAAAATCTAGTATTTCTCACGATTAAGTCCAAGTACTTGCAATCGTGACAGCTTAGCCAAGGGCAATAATCCGTCACAATTTGCCACTAAACCGTCACATATGTATTTAGAATTTAAATCCGGTGTTAGTTTTGTAGAAGATCCATTGATCGCTAATACGAAAAGATAAATCCGTTTGTAAAAGTATGTATTGTTGTATTGAAACTATTTATCTTTTAGCATTACTACTTACTAGTTATTCATATTTACATCTTATATATACATCCAAAGTTCCAAATCCAAAACAATATTTAAGCCACAAAAAAAATGAGTCAAACAAAACCTAGTTGGCATGATTTATTTCCAATTAGAAAAGAAATTCAAAATAAACACAACCGTTATCTGGATGGCAAAATAATAAAGATTAATTATTTTGATGAAATGAAACCCATGAATCTAGGCATCGAGTTAGAAGGCTGTTGTTGCTCAAATGGCCTTAGCCATGGCTCTTGAACAACTCCGATCGGTGACCCTGACACACCATCACACTCATACCAACCATAAACAGTCTTTGCATAGTCTAATCTCTTGGCCAATTCTTGTTTCTGTGTTCTCAAAACTATGTTCTCCATTTCCAAGGCAGAATGCCCTTTCACAAGCCCTTCTATTTTCAGAACCATTTCGTCTCTCTTTTTCGTAAAATAAAAGATTTGCTCATTTAGATCCTTCATGTGTTTTTCTTTCTTCATTCTAGACCTCCTTGCAGATTCCCGGTTCGATAGCATCCTCTTCATCTTCTTCTCATCCATCATTAAATAACCCTTTGATGACATGATTCTTCTAACCTGCTCTAATATTTGAATAATCCAATGTATATACACAAAAAAGAAAGTTCAAGAAACCGAGTAGAACCAATGAAGAAACACGACGGAAAATGATTGAACAAGTCTGATTCTACTTAAAATGGTGGCAAAGCTCATATCAATGCGGACTTTTGCGATGGTTTATTGTTCTTATTTGAACAATATAGGCTCATAGTCGACTTTAAAAACCCTAATATGTGTGTTCGTAAATGAGAGAGAGAGAGAGAGAGAGAGGTATGTGAAGTTATCGCGTTGAGGGTGAACATTTATAGAATGTGTACGAGGGAGACGAATATTCTGAACAAAAGTCTTGTGTGTCCCTATACATAAGAAGACTTATGTGAAAGAAACGTAAGTAAGTTGATAGCTTCTTTTGGAATTCTATACGGATAACGGGATAAGACCGAACTTCATAGGTCATAACAATCATTTTCCCCATCCGGTATATTTAATCAAACATATTAATTAGTTTAATGGTTTTTTTTTTAAGTTCCAACAGTTACACCCCACCTACTTTCTAGATATATCTCAAAACTAATTAAGCACTTGGTAGCTGGTAACTATTAGTTGTATTAGTTGGAAGTTGTTTGTTGGCTGTAAGTTATTTTTATGTAGAAGTGTTCATAAAAAATAATAACAGTAAGCACTTAAATGCATGTATATAATTAAATAGAAATTAAAAGCTAAAAGCTTATAAAAATAGATTTTGGATTAGAAATTTTTTGTTTAAATTAAAAGTTTTAAGTTCATACTTCCAATCAAAACTTTTTTTTTCTTTAAGTTTTTTTTTATGTAAGATTCTCAATTTGGGCCTATAGTTTTTTTTTTACCTTTTTCAGTAAAATTAAAAAATTTAGAAAATAAAAGAAGTAAAGATGGAATAAAAAGAATAATCAATCAAATAATAGAGATAGATTTAATGATAGTAATTTAAATAAAAGTCTTAGAGTTTAATTGAGGACTTTTTGTTAAAAGGATCATAGTTGTTAATTTGTGAAAGATCGGGTTTTGACCAATAGTTGACTTGTTGACTATATTTGGACTATATGTGACAGATAGGGAATGGTTTATTTTGGAAACTTATGAAGTTGCGTAGTTATTTCCATGTTAAGTTGTGGTTCAAGTGAAAGCTTTACACCCTGTTTCCGAGTTTCATTTAAAGAAAAGAAAAGAAGAGAAGAGAAATATGGAGAGAAAAGAAAGGAAAGGAAAAGAAAGTAAAATGTATTTTTCTGTTCCCGAGTTCGAGAGAAAGGAAAAGAAAATTATTTTTCTTTGTGTTCCCGAGTTGGAAGGAAAAGAAATGAAAACTAAAAATAGACAATTATACCCTTGTCACCTTTTATCAATAATTTCAAATATATACCACACGATTCTCTTGAAAACAAAATTATGCGTAAACTTTTTTTTTTTTTTGCCAACTCTTGCCTACCTCTCAACTTCTTTACTTATTTTTTGCACATGATTACTTATACAAAAAATCATTAACGCATAATTCATTATTAATCACAATTATAGTATGTTTTTCATTTGTATTACTTTTTCAAGAAACAAACAGAGATACAACCAAGGGCAAAAAAATCCAAGAAATTATGCAAATTGTTATAATTATAATTAATGAACTTTTATTTACAAATTAAAAGTACACATAATGAAAGCTTTTTAAAACCTAAATAAGATTATACTAAAAACTATATAAATTGTAATTTGATTATACCTTATATTTTTTAGTAGCAAATTTTATCATTTATTTGTAGATTTCTAATTCTATGAGTGCTATGATGAAGACTTTTTTTTTCATCTTTTTTTAATTTTTTTTTACATTTAGTTGCACATTGTAATGAGATTTTTTGAGAAATCCTGCAACTTTTTATTAAATTAATGCAAACAAACGAGTTTGTAAAACTTGGGGGTGATCAATTGGTTCCTTATTATGCTGATATATTGGGAGCTATCTTGCCTTGCATAGCTGATAAAGAAGAAATAATACGTGTTGTAAGTTTGTGTATTCTGATGGAATCCGATGGAATTGGAATTCGGAATGTCATTCCATTGAAAATCTTGAAAAAGGGAGGATAAGTGTGATGGGTCATGTAGGGGATATTTACCCTTTTGACCATTTGTAATATGGTCTAATTGTTTTTTGAATGGGTAAACATTTTTAGTTGCTTTAGCCAAAAATAGTTAACTATATATACAAGATACACTCATTATTGTTGTTTACCTCTTGATTAACTAGAGGCCAAATAACTACCTAAATAGCACAAAATAACATACAAGAAACATAAAGAAATAAAAAAATTACTACTCTTGGAATGTTGTTTCATTGGTTTTTAATTACACTTTCAGATTGTGAAAGATGGGACATTGGTCTTTTAATGTTTTTAGATATGGACGATATCGCCCTTGGGGATACCTATATCAGATAGACCTTTGGGTGGCAGCTACAATGGTTGCATTGTGCTCAAAACTCTGTGTTTTTTTTATGTTTGTAAAACAATGAAGAGAACTTCATGGAAATACCTAGGAGAATGTATGTAAGTCATTCTTTATTCAAGATTAAAATTTATGATCTACCACGGTATGGTATTTGCTGTGTGCATTTTCATCAAGGAATGCTTGAAATCTTAAACCCTTAAAAATCATTTACTTTATAGAGCCAGAAAAAGACATAACAGATACCCATATACCACCAAATAACAGATAAGAAACATAGAAATAACCAAGAAAACTTCATGAAACTGGAATGTCTACTGAAAGAGCAGGTGAGGTCATATACTTTTCTTGATTATATAAATGCCAAATACGTACCCATATACCACCAAATAACAGATAAGAAACATACAAAATAACCATGAAATAGATGGCATCATGATAAGAAGAATAGGGTATAAGAAACATAAAAAATAAATCAAAGAAAAAAATGAAACCTGATGTTGGAAGCTTGAACCCTGAAGACGAATGAGTGAGGAACCAGTCAATGGAATCGTCTGATGCAGAGCGAGAAGAGGAGAAGCATGGATTTTTTTTTCTTTTGTGATGTTGTACGTGGATGTATATAGGGGTATTTTGGTAATCATCCGGATTTTCTCTGTATCGATGATTCTCTTCTCTCCAAATCTCTCCAATTTGGGAGGAAGATTTGGAGAGAAAAGAATGCTCTGATTTCCTTTCCTTTCTTTCCAAATCACTCCAAAAAATAAACTCGGGAACACTTTGACTCCTTCTTTCTCTCCAATTCTGTTCTTTTCTCTCCGCTTCCCTCGTTAATTTCGACTCGGGAACAGGGTGTTAGTGTTGAGGGACTATTTTTTGTAAATTCCAAAAGTTTGAGCATTAGCAGAGAGTGTCTTTTTCCATGCTACATCCAAACTGTCTTCAACCTCTAGAGAGCATAGAAATGGTGATTCCCTTCTTCTATTTGTGATTTGAAGCTTGTTTATTGAAGTGTTGAATATATAGCCATTGTTCATCACAATCTCCTAGCCTTAGAGGTATAATCCCTTCTCTAGAACTCTCTATCTCTATGGATAGGATTCAAATTTGAAGTCAAATTTGAATTCAATGTCTAAATTATTGACTCAATGAATTTTCTAGTTGTTTTATCATCTATAGAATATCACTTCATCATCAACTCTTTATATAGTTCTTTGATTAAAGTTTGATGATGATTTTTGGGTGTTTATAATCCTAGTATCCATAAATTCGATTTTTTTGTTCATTTATAATTTAAATGAGTTTTGTTGTTTGGGTATTGAGCAGCGATCATACGGTTCGTGTGAAGTCCAAGGGTTAATCCGCATGGGTCGTGTAGCCTCCTCGATGCCTACACTGAAATCTAACTTTTAGTCCGTTTTGATAACGTTTGACCTCTTATTGTCCTCAAAACTTCCATGGAGACTAATATAAAGTGTTTTAACCAGAAAATGAAGTCAATATGTTAGGAACCCTTATAGGGATATTTTTGGTCATTTTGTAACCATTTGATCATAATAGATAGGTGGTGACTAAGAAGTATTGTAAGCTAGGAAGAAGTGGAATACCAAGAGATTAAGGTGAGTAACTATCTGAATACATGTCCACACTATGACTAGTGAATATTTTTATGAAATGAATTTTATTATAATGTTTGCATAGCTTACTTGCTATGTGAAATACTATGTTTAGTCTATGTACATTCACAAAAATGATATTTACAAAAGATTTGATTATGACTACATGACTATATGCTGAGATGTCAAGCCACCAAAAAAATTACACTCTTTTGTTTGCAAATAAAACGTAATATAGTAGTAAAAATGGGATCGAATCCACGGGGAAATTGTTGTAACTCGGTTATCAATTCAATTCAATTGAACAAGTGAACTGAAACTAAACAACTAAAATTAAACTAGGGGGTTGTGATTTGTTTGAAAACTAAAAGACTTGAAGAGTTAAAAAATGCTTGCAATTAAGCAAGATAGTGAGATGCTCAAATATTAGAGAGAATTTGTGGCAATTCAACACAATGAATATTTGTTTGTCTATCATTAGGATTCAATATGTAAGCTTATCATTCAAGCCAAATTAGTTCTAGCAATCATGAAGCATGATATGCCAAAATTCCTCAAAGGTAGTTAGGGGTGTGCAAAAAAACCGCAAAATCGAAAAACCGAGCCGATCCGGTCAATCCGAAACCGAATTAAACCGAAATAGAAAAAAAACCAAAACCGAAAAAACCGTCTATCTACGGGCCGGGTTTGGTTTGAACATTTAGGATCCGCGGATATCTGAACCGAACCGTTATATATATATATATATATATATATATATATATATATATATATATATATATATATATATATATATAAAGCATTATTTCCATTGATCATGAAACATTATTTTTAATACAGAGAGTGAACCATCCCAAGCAATAAATAAATAAATAACAAAGGTAAATATTATTAATATAGAAATAAAACATAATAAAA